ATGAAAAATATTTGTTTTGACTTGAAAAATAGTGTAATTATACCTTATATATTTACATATAATTGAAATAATACATATCTTTATTTTATTTTTTTCATAGATGTGAGTTTTATTGGAAGAGGTGGGTTGAGTTCTGGGTCAAGTGAAGTCACCCTAAACCTAAATTAAATCGGATTTTAGGTAGATTGGGTATTTTTATTGGATCGAATCGGATTGATCGGAAACTCAAACTAACTTGATTCATGTTCATCCTTACAAAAATATATATAGTGACAGCGATAATAAAAATAGATCTAATAATTTTGAAAGTTTCAAACATAATATAATTACAAAATAAAAAAAGTTATATTAAATTTATAGTTGATTCATTATTATATATATTTTTCATGCCATTTTATGTTTGGATTGAGAATGTAACTAAATAGGATGAGAGAGGGCCCTTCCCAAAATTTACATTTTTTGTTTAATTGATCCTTATATCCTTATTTAAATATCAAATAAAGTTGCACTAACTATGTGAATTCTGTGGTTAAGGGATTGTTGTTATCCCTTGAAGTCATGGATTCAAACATCATGTATATAGATGTGTATGAACATTTAATATCAAATGATTGAAAGTTTTTGAACATATATTAACTTATATTCACTTCAAACTAATTAAAAAAATCAAACATGTTCTTCCCCTCTCATATTTCTTTTGGTTCACACATTTATTAGGTGCATGTTAGTTTTAAAATAGAATAAATTAAATTTTAACCTCATTTTTTAGTTTAAATACTTCTTTATTTATAGTCAACTTTGAAACTAAGAAATTTAGTCCCCTAAAGTTATATTCTAGTTTGGTCCTTGGTTTGGATTGCAACTCTACTAGCATATCTATATTTTATAGTACATATAAAATCATAAATTGAGTGTACGAGCCAATTCGATAATAAATCATTTTATAATATATTGTAATCACCATATTTGAACTATTAATAATAATAATAATTATTATTATTATTATTACAAATAAACAAAATATTATTCCATACAAACCCAATACCCAAACCTGGGCCCAAACCAAAGCCCTAACCTAAACATCTAACCTAACCCTAACCATAACCATAACCATAACCCTTCTTATCATCAGCCATTGTCGCCGCCAAAATAAGCTCCATAGCCGCCGACCAAGTTCTTCTCACGCCCAGTCACATCGATCGTCGCCACCGTCAACCCTAGCCGAACAAATCCATCAAAAATTTCAACAAACCCCGGAAAATCTGAGATATTAAAAATGTAAATCATCACAAACATTATTTGTCACAAGCAAATATGAGTAGGTTGCTTTTTTTATTGAAAAGGGCGATGTAATTTCGGGTATAAAACCCGAAGAAAAAAGTTATAAAAGGGATCCCCTTTTGGTATTTTTCAGAAAGCAATAAAAAAACCTTAAAGGTAAATTTTTTCAGTTCGAATATTAAAAGTTTTTTTTTCTTTTTTCCAATTTGAATATATATATATATATATATATATACGAAAAATAGAGGGAAGAGGAAACGTTACCTGAGGGGGAAGTTGAATAGAAGGGTCAGTTCGTCTTTGCGGTGGTCGGAATGGAAAAAAGTCAAAACGTTGGGGAGCTTTTGGGGTGATTAGGAGTAGTATTTAGTGATTTTAACTCCATATAGGGGCTTAGGAGTATAGATCAGAGACAATAACATCGTTTGGGGTCGGTTTATAAGCATCACCCACCATGTGTGGTGGTCGAAACGACGGTCGGAGAGGCTGGCAGGGGTTGGTCGGGAGAGACCGATAGGGATTGGCCGAGAGAGAGTTAAGAGAGTTTAATTTTTTTTGGGTTTTGGGTTTAAAATGAATAAAAAAATAAATGTGTTTTATAGGAGAAGTTTGGGGTAAAATAACGTTTAAGTCCCCCAAAGATTCCCGTGTTTTTGCATTTTGGTCATATGCGAGGACCAAAACTATTATTTTCCCTTTTAAGTTGCACTCATTTTGCTATTTTTCCTTTTTTATACGATATAGTTATTGGTATAATTGCGTTCATGTCCCCTTAGTAATCGTATGTTTTTACTTTCTTATCACCTATAGTGATTATTTAATTTATTTCAATTTTGTTGGACTAATTTTGTAATTTTCTATTTTTATTTAATGGTGCATTTTAGGCTTGTAAAAATGAATAATCATGATTTAGTCCCTACAGTTTCAACATGTTTTTAGATTTTGGTTACTAATATTTTTTTTATTTGTTTCAATTTAATTATGCAATTCTTATTTTATTTTAATTTGGCCCCTTGTAATTACATATACGATTTATTTTTTCCCTATAGTTTAATGCTAATGCAATTTAATCCTTTCATATTTATTTTCTTATTTTAAATATTTTTGTTTGTTTATTTCTTAATTTTAATTTAATTTGTTGTTATTTGAATTTGTATTTCTAGTTTTTTTATTCAATTAGTTTTTAGAAATTGTTCTTAGATTGGGATCTTTTAATGCCAAATTTTATTTAGTAATTAGGATCTCACCTTAGTTTTAATTAGGGAATAATTCGATTCGAGTTTTTGCATAAAATGCCCGATTACTCGAGTCGATTGTTCGAATTCTTAAAGTGTTAATCATCAATTAATATTAAAGGTCACCTAATTTAATCTCTTAATTTTTAATAGATAATTAGGATAATCATTTGATCCTTGATTTATTGGTTAGTCCTTAAACTTTAGGTATTATAGATTTTGACCTTAAACTTTAAAGTTTTTATATTTAGGTCTCTGGACTTTAGTTTCCTTTTACATTAGTCCTTAAACTTTTAATTAGAATTTTTAAGTCAACATAATTAAATAGGTTATTAATTAGAGCCTCCACTTTAGGTTATATTACAATCTATGCCCTTTAATTTGAGGAGTAATCTGAGTTGGCCCTTGCCTAAATGCTCAAGGGGTCATATCGATTATTCGATTCAATAACTGGTTAAAATCAAGTAGGATTAATATTAGAGCTTACATTTTTAGGTTTATGCCTCAAGGTTCTTTAATAATTCAACACTTTAAGATTGAGAAAGCCTTAATCTACTCTTAGTTTAATTAGAGTTAATAATAAATTGTTTGATTGTACCATGTTTTAAAATCTAAGGCAATGTTTACTTATTAAGGAGTCAATACTATATATCCTGAAAATATGCTCAGGGGGTGACTACTGGTGATTCCCAAAATAGGTCGACATCCTTTTCACGAATGCATAATGATTTCTAAAATATCGAGGCAATGTCCGGTTTTTAGGCACAATAGTTGATCTCTCGCATTCATGCTAGGGGGCGAATGCTATTGGCTTTAATAAACGAATACCCTTTTCAACTTTGCATCCGTAATGATTTTAAAATTAAATGAAATTTGAACTCAAAGTTTTTAATTTTTAATATAGGATAATCAACTAAGTACTAATTTTAAGGCGATGTGGGGATGCTAATTCTTCCCCACGCGTAATTGACTCCCGAATATATTTTTTGATTTTTGTAGACCCTAAACTTAGTATTTTGATAAAAATAAAATATTTTATTAAAATCGCTTGGTTTTATGGTATTCCAATCGTACCTTTAAATGATTGGTGGCGACTCCTCGCATTTCAAAACATTTTCAAAGAAAAACCCTTAAGCCGTACCAAGTTTTTCTCTACCCATACGAAAAACAGTGTCGACAAATATTTTTTTATAATTTAAAATAAGTCGATTTTAAATGATTACACGAGGATCAAACACGTAAATAGTAGATTAATGCATAAATTATGGGCAAAATTAACAAAATATTATAACCGATAATATTTAAAAAAATCGAATGGTAAAAATTTATTTAAGGGTTTATAATATTTGTTATAGTTATTAAAAACTCGCCAAATGAATTTTAATGAGTTTTATAAAATATATATTTTTATTGAAATTGTCATATCTGCACATGAGTTCTAATAAAAAAATATATTTTATAAAACTTTTTACACCCATATGACAAATTTTTAATCTATTATAAAAAAAAATATCGTAAATCATTAAATAATATTCCACGGGTCACATGTCACAAAATAAATTTAGTGAAAATTATTAAATAACTTTTATAAATATAAGTTTATATAAAATATTTTTATTAATTAGCATTGTAGGCAAGGGAGAACATAGGCTCCTGTAAATTATTTTTGTAATTATTAATTAATATTGAAAATATATATATATTTTTGAAAAACTAAAATATAAGACCCCTCAATTGAAAGAAAATTACATTTATGGAAAATAAAATTAAGCTACGTTATAATAAATTTATAGTTTCGCCCATGGTTGCAGGTGTAGGGTGAGCATTCAATTGAGTCGAGTAAAAAGTTTCAAGTTATTCAAGTTGACGAGTTATATTTTATAACTTGACTCAAATTTGAAATTTTTTTAAGTTGAGTCGAGTTTATAAAATTTGAGACAAGTTGAGTTGAGTTGTTCGAGTTTCTATTTAAATTTAATTGTAAATATTAATAATATTATGGTACTATTTAATTCAAATTTAAATGTTTTTTCATAACCGCATACAATATATATATTTCTTCATATTTTTTCATATATGATATACATATATTATAGAAAGTTGAGAGACACGACTCAAACTTAAAAATCAATGTACTAATTATTAAAATTTTAAATTATTTGAGTTTTGTTTTATAACTTAACTCGAATTTAAAAAGTTTTTAGCATCTAATTTATAAAATTGTTACTCTAAATTAATTTAATTTATTTTTTGAGTTTGTTTGAATAAATAAAATTAATTTTTTGAATCGAGTTAAATATAGTTGATAATAAAATCTAATAGAATAATTAAATTTTTTCACCCCGTAAGGCAAGTAATCCCATTGTTTCTTCACTAGTTTTTATCTCTTTTATGTTGCTCAGTTTTCTCTGTCATTGTCGAGCGTCAAAATCAAACAGTTTGCACATCAAACCCATAATCATCACGCTTCTTTAACCACCACTCCCCCCATCCTTTCCTCACTGCTTCTCTCCCTAAGTTTCCATTAACCATTTCCAGTAAAGAAATCTACTCTCATGGAACCAACCCAAAGCTCCCCTTCCTCAAATCTTCACAATCACCCTTCAATGTTCTTCTTTTCAAATAACCCACATCAATACCATGAAAGGGAACCCATGTTCGAAAAACCCCTAACCCCCAGCGATGTCGGCAAGCTCAACCGCCTTGTTATTCCCAAGCAACATGCCGAGAAGCACTTCCCCTTGGCCTGCCCTGACTCGCTCGACAAAGTCTTGTTGCTGAGTTTCGAGGACGAGTCGGGCAAGTCTTGGCGTTTCCGTTACTCGTATTGGAATAGTAGCCAAAGCTACGTGTTGACCAAAGGGTGGAGTAGATATGTCAAAGAGAAACAACTCGATGCTGGTGATGTTATTTTATTCCAACGCCACCGTTTGGATGCCGATAGATTGTTTATAGGGTGGAGGAGGCGCGGTGCAGCAGTGGATGACGGCCACCCCGTGATGGGAAATATCAGCGGCGGCGGTGGCGATGAACGGTGGTGTGCTAGGGGATTGTATCATGGGGCTAACGTGCCATACCAACATGATTGTTTTCATGCAGGTATATAATTTTGTCACATTGTAACATTATCTACTTATTAAAAATATATATTTTCTAAATATTTTTACTTTAATATAAAACTTTAATGTAAAAAAAGGAATTTATTCTCACATTGAAGTGAGTGAGAGCTAATGTTATTGTCCTATTCGTGTAAGTTGTTCCTCGAAATTTGTTTCACGCTCTACCTGGTATTTTATTATAGTAATATATTAAGTATAAAAAAATTATTACTTTATTTTTAAAATGCTTTTTCTTTTTGTTCGATGCTTCCATTTTAATATGAATAAATATATTTTTTAATTAATTTGTTCTAGTAAAAGCTGTGATGATATAAGAGTTTGAGTATTAATATAAAATGGGGTGGGTTCACTGAATATTATTGAGCATCACATGGAAGCATGTGTTTTGAATTTGTGTCACATTTGCAGGAAGCATGGCTCAATATCAAGCCCCAGGTGGGAACCCAAAGAGGCTGTTGCGGCTGTTTGGGGTGAACCTAGAGTGCCAGCTCGATTACTCGTCCGAGCCATCCACGCCCGATAGCTCGTCCCTGTCGAGTCAGGGTCCAACCGCCCACCACTTTTAATCTCAATCATGGTAAGCAATGCATATGCATATATGATATATCCTATTAGTTTTTTGTTAGAATTAAGTTAATAATTAAGGAGTAAAGATGAGTTTAAACTATTAAAATATTAGACGGTGGTGCTGGTTGTAATGAGACATATGAACAGATAATTAGTCATTTGAACTGTTGACCGCTTGGCACGTGGCCTAATTGCATTAGTTTGGCTACTAAATTAGGATTAAGTGGAGACGTGGTTTCCTTTAACACCAACCATTTTCAAATTAAAAATACATAAAATAATTATAATCAGACGTTAAGTACCCTGACCAAGCTGTCTAATTCAGCGGGACTTAAGGATAACTATTTTTTAGATTTATATTTGATGGGACAATTATTTTTATATATTTCTAAAAGAATTAATTAATCAATAAATCAATTTTATTTTATCATAACGAAACAATGAAATTGAATTATTATTTTGAAATTTTAAATTTTCTTTAGATAATTATCTATTTTATTGATTGTATTCTTCCTTGAATTTTGTTTGTATTTATCGGTACAAAAATTTTATGTTGTTATCCATCCTAAAATATATCTCTACATATGCAGTCCGAAATATATACTTTTGATTTCGTCCATAGAATTCAAAGTCGAATTCCAATTAAAGCAGATATTGTTGCAAAAGAGAATGAAGATAGCAATAATGAAAGATGGCCTCCGAAATTATTTGATAGTTGGGTCAACATAGTTAGGCAAATATTGTAGAGATTTTTGGCATTTGGCGATTACAATGTAATTTATTCGTGTTTGTAACAGGAAAATGGGTTGTCCAAAGATATGATGGAGCAGATGAGATAAAGCTTTGAGGATGTTGACATGGCTCCCCCACTTTGAAGGTCAAAAGAAATATGCTGTTTTTTGCCAATGTAAAAAATGGTAACTTTTGGTTGCAGAAAGCTTTAGATATGACGGTGGTGGTGTGGTCAAAGTTAAAAACCTAGTGCTAATAATGTGGTGAAATAATAAACTCCGAATGTTGTTAATCGTTCAATCGTACAAACAGCTGAAGCTGATGACCATTAAGCAGGCCATCAGTGCGTATCGAATAATGGCTGCAGTGTTGTAACCGGCAAGCACACGTTGGAAAGCCAGATATCTTTATCTCCATTGGAAATGAAGTCCCAAAGTTTTAGTGGCTTTGCAAGTGGGAAAAGATCATCATTGAGCATGAATCAGTAGTGTAAATATAGTAACATTTCTTTCTCCCACTTGGCTTTTCCATCTTCAACAAAATGACCTGATTCTTTCGAAACTTAAATCAAACACTTTATGCTCACGATTCATTCGACTATTAGTGCAAAGCTTGAATTGAAATTCGACTATACACTAACAAGCCTCTAAATATGGGGACCCCATTTTATTCATTGCAAAACCTATCTGGTTTTAGGGAACTCAACTTCAGACGTTTGGTATTGCAACTTCTTACTACTTAATTAACTTCATTGAACCCATCAAGTGATTAAAGGATGTATTATTTTTTCGGGAGTTATTGGGTTTGAGGCTTTGAGCAGCTACACCTGCAAGGGGTGTGCTGTCAATGCTTAAGAATTTTTTTTTGAACATATACTACTTATAATTATCTTAGACTATTAAAAAAATCATTTTATTAAATTCACCTATAATTAATTTTTTTTGAGATCCATTAATTGACCGTGTGATTAAATATGCTTATATTATCTTATCTTGTATAGGTTCGAATCCTTACATTTACTTTGAAAATGTAATACCTCTATACTTAATAAAAAACCAATTTTTTTAAGAAAACTATTATTTTGATAACTAGTTTTGATATTTATTTATGATGTGGCATTTTTTTTACAGTTATATACCTAATTTTTTAATGGTGCAATTAGATTCTTATCTTATTTTTGATGCACTTAGATATTTGTTTTTTTTTTCTTTAGCACAATTCGGTACTTGGCTTTTTTAATTACATGTGTTCAATTTTGATTGGTTCATACTGATAGTTTTAATATCATTTAGTTAAAGAGAATATATATTACAGATTCACAAGTTAGACATTAAAATTTAAAGTACGAATGAAATTTTAAAAATTTGCTAAATACATTACACCCAAAAAAATTGGTTACATACCTAATTACATAAAACAAAGTTGAATGTCATGTTGCGAATAAATATCAAATTTAGTTACCAGAAATTATATTAACCCCTTTTCTTTAACGTAATAAAAAAATACTTATTATTTTTTATACTGATTTTTCTAAAAGCAGGATTAAAAACAGTTTTATATATTGGATAAACTATAGATTTAGTATCTAAATTATTACTTTTGTTCTATTTTGGTACCTAAACTTTATTTATTTTTTTCAAAATCATACCTAACGTTTTAGTTTAGGTTTCATTTTGATACCCTACTATTAGAACTGAACGTACTATTGTACATAGGGGTGGGAATAGGCCAGGTCAGGCTAGGCTTTAATAGGCCTGGGCCTGGCCTACACTGATTTGTATTGGCCTGGGCCTGGCCTGTGGCCTGTTAAAGGCTTTTATTTAGGCCTGGCCTGGGCCTATTTAAAAGCCTGGCCTGTTTAACAATAAACATTTAATATTTTCAGTTTAACCATTAATTTTAGAGTAAAATCCCTATTAAGTCACTCTAACTTAGTATATTTTACAAAGTAGTCACTCTAAATAGGTCAGCCTATCAGGCTTTTTAATAGTCCTAAGCCTGGCCTGTTTAGTTAAATAGGCTTTTAAAAAGGCATGGGCCTGGCCTGTTTAGTTAAAAAGGCCAGGCCAGACCAGGCTTTATACAGGCCAGGCCCAGGCCCTGGAGGCCGGCCTGGCCTATTCCCACCCCTAATTGTACGTGTCAGTTTTTATGGGTAAATCATATTATTTATCACTCAACTATCTTCTCCCTTATATTTTGGTCACTAAAGTTTAAAATTTTCAATTTAATTACTCAACTTCCAAAATTTTCATATTTTAATTATTCTAATTTATTTTATTAATATTTTTGTAACATGGTATTTTTTTATTATTATTTTATAATAAAAAGTAAATTTAAAATTCTACCCAAACTCGAAAATTATATCACAAACCCCTCATATATTAATAAAATAAGTTAGAGTGATTAAATTAGGAGTAATATGAAAGTTAAGTGATTAAATTAAAAAAATAAACTTCAATGATCAAAATAGAAGTGAGAAGATAGTTGAGTGATAAATGATGTAATTTACCCATAAAATAATTAACAGTATAGTACTAAAATGAAACCTAAACTAAACGTTGGGTATAATTTTGAAAACAATAGAGTTTATGTACCAAAATGGAACAAAGTAATAGTTTAGATAATAAATGTGTAGTTACCCTTATATATGTTAGGGTGAACTACCTTATTTGTCACTAATTTGTTAAGGTGTTTTCACTTTGGTCATTTATCTTTTAAAACTTACATTACATTCACTAAAGTCTTAATGCATTTTTATTACTATCATTGTCGTTAAGAAATATTGATATGACACATTAAAATATTTTCCTCTAAAATCCCCAAGGTTCTTAATTTGCAACCATCACTAAGGACAATTTTTTTATGAATAGAGTGTTCACCAATAAATTCCAAAATTGGGAAAGATTTATTTGATCAGAAGATTAACATAGTTTGATTTCAAGCTGATTTAACGGTTGATAGCGACAAATCTAAAAGTTTGAACTTTTAGTTTCAATTAGGATTGACTTGAGATTTATGATATTAAAAGGTTTTTTTTCGAAGAGTTTGAACCAAAAGAAAGAGAGAGAAGGAGAGTAGTTGCATTACTTTCTTATTGGAGAAACCATCGAATGGTGGCAGAAACGACGACGAAAGAAAGCGACGGTAATAACAATTTGAAATCAAATTATGTTAATATTTTGATCCAATGGAGCCTTCCCACTATTAAGATTGACCAACAATCACTCTATTCATAAAAAACACTCAACTATTACAACAACCGTAAACATGGAAAATTAGAGTTTTTGAGGAAGAAGACTCAATGTCAATATTTTCTAATAGCAACTAACGTAATAACCATAATGAAAGCGAATTAAAATTATAATGATTGTAACATAAGTTTTACAAGTTTGATGATCAAAATAGAAACACCCTAAAATTTCAGTGACTATCTGTGTAGTTTACTTTTTTGTATACAATTGATGTTGCCATAATTAGCAAAGCACATCCCACAAACTCCGACAACTCTTTTTACTTTTCCTCTACAAAAGACTGTTTCAAATTAAAAACCATCCTCTTTTACATACTTTTTTTCCCCTTCTTCTTCCTCTTCTTATGGATCAATTCACCACCCAAACAATCCACCAACTTCCGCCTAGTTCCGCCAGTATCAAGAGAGAGATTTGCTGCACTATCTGTTTCGTCTTCATCTTGATCTCTTCCATCATTACTTTGAACCTTGGGAGCTCTTCAAAGTCACTACCGTTGTTCCGTTTCGATCATTTCTTCCCTCGGAAACCAGCCATATTCCATCATAGACCACCCTTAAGGCCTTGTGATTATTCCTACGGCCAATGGGTTCGGGTTGACCATAAAAATCCGGTCCAGTTGTACGACGAAAAGTGCCCGTTCCTCGATCCCGGTTTCCGGTGTCGTAGGAATGGAAGAAAAAACGTCGAGTATCTCAAATGGAGATGGAAGCCCCATGACTGTTATGTTCCCAGGTATGAGAGTTTAATCATTTTCTCTGTGAATGGTAGGGTTGTTTAATTTCTTTAAACCACAGATTCAATGCCACCGATTTCTTGGAACGGAGTCGAAACGGACGGATCGTGTTTGCTGGTGATTCTATGGGAAGAAATCAATGGGAGTCCCTGCTTTGCATGTTGGCTCAGGATGTTTCAAACAAATCTGCAATCTTCGAACAAAACGGAAGCCCCATAACCAAGCACAAAGGCTTTCTTTCAATGAAGTTCCAGGATTACAACCTCACCGTCGAATACTACAGAACACCTTTCATAGCGGTCCTCGGTCGCCGACCTATAAATGCCCCCGCCCAAGTCAAGGTAATCGTTAAGGTAGACCAGTTGCATTGGCGTTCCAAACAATGGAAAGGAGCCAATGTCATTGTCTTCAATACAGGCCACTGGTGGAACAAAGAGAAAATTGCTAAAATGTACGGCTTCTTCATAGGCTCCAACGTGGGCAAAACTTTCGAGATAATGTTATGAAAGAAATTAATTCACGAGTTAATGCACTCATAAGATTAATTGTTCAAATAAGGTGAAATTCAAAGTGTTGGCCGTAGGTCGCCATGCGCTCCGGGCGACCTACCCTTGCTCAAACAGAGAGAATGAACGTGTTGCATGGCACATGCACGTCCCAACACATAGGTCGCCATGCCCTCCGGGCGACCTTGTAGGTCGCCATGCACTCTGGGCGACCTACCCTTGCTCGGCTTCCCTCGGATTCCCTCGCATAGCTCGTTCGGATGGCCTCGGTCGGATGGCCTCGGATGCCCAGCGTGTTGGGACGTGCATGGCACATGTAATCTCTTGTAGCTCGCCGGGAAGACATGGCGACCTACGGCCAACACTGTGGATTTCACCTTATTTGAGCAATTAATCTTGGGAGTGCTTTATCTCATGAATTAATTTTTTCTAGAACATTATCTCGAAAGTTTTACCCTCCAACGCGTGTGTATATATATATATGGAAGAATATCATAATTTATCCCTTAAATTCAGCATAATTATTGATAGAATTTTGTGTTTTTTCTTCTTTTTTTTGCAGGGGCTGCTATTTTCAGGAAGGCGGGACATTGAATATGACAATGGATGCCATGGAAGGTTTTACTAGGTTTCTTGAAACATTGATGTCATGGATAACCAACAACTTAAACCCACAAAGAAGCCATGTTTTTATCCGAACTCATTCACCGGTTCATTTCATGTAAGTGATCACAAAATTATATCCGTTCAATCTTATTCGTATAAAAAAACCAACATTTGTTTTGGTATTTTAACGCGTTAAAATTGTAGGAATGGCACATGGGATGATGGGGGAGTGTGTGATGCAGAAACAGAACCAGAAAAAGACCAGAAGAAGCTTAAACCCGAATCCTGGAATAATCAATATATTGGCAATATGACCAAAGAAATGAACAAAGGAAGCTGGAAGGTCCGATTGTTAAACATTACGTATCTGACGGGGTTCAGGAAAGATGGTCACCCTTCCAAGTACCGTGAGCCGGGGATTTCTCCGGTTGCACCCCAAGATTGCAGCCATTGGTGCCTGCCTGGTGTACCAGACACATGGAACCAGCTTCTTTATGCTCAGTTACTTTCAATGGAATTTAGAACCAAATGATCCCAGAACTGGGGAAATCACAAAAAAAAATAGACAAAATTTACAAATTATTTACAACCCAAGTGATCCCCTAAATTATGGAAAATGATTCAAATGAAAAAGAGACATAGAGGTTTCTTTGCTTGAGGAAATTAATGGATTTTGTATCTGACAAATATAATTCAAGTGCAAAAAAGATATATTAAAAATCTAAATTTTGTATTATTTTCTTTATAACTATCAAAAGGTTGACATTGAAACTAACAAAAACAGCTATAACATAAAAGAGATTAAAGTATGATATAAAATGATATATAACAAATACGATACGAATATATAAATTTCTCAATATCATTAATGTAACTTAAAATAATATAAATGTAATTATAAAATTAAAAAAAATTACATAAAGACAAGTTGGAAGTTGTTTAGCATCATATTAAACAAATACCATAAATGATTACAAGAGAAATTCTTATTTTATGGAGTAATTACAAACATTTGGAATTTTATATGGAACACGAAAAACTATTCGAAAGTTGGAAGCTTTAGGAGTGGAGTAGTAGAATGAAAGCCCAATTTAAAACTATCCAGATCAAGCCCAAGGAATCCTTTAAAATTGCTTTCGCTTCTCCTCTCCTATTCCCCTAAAACTGAAATCGTTGCTTGTAAAAAAGAACCCTTGTTTTTTCTTTGAAAGATGTGGGCAAGTTCAGAGGGAGGTGCACCAGAGGTTACTCTAGAAACCTCAATGGGTGCTTTCACTGTTGAGGTAAAACTCTACTCTCTTTTTTTCTTTTTACTGAGCTTTCTTCAGTATATATTGGGTTTATATTCATTGGCTTAGCCCTTTTATTTTACTGGGATTTTCAGCTATATTACAAGCATGCACCAAGAACTTGTAGGAACTTCATTGAACTTTCCAGGAAAGGTTACTATGACAATGTCAAATTCCATAGGATTATCAAGGTTCCTTCTTTTTCTTCTTTTTTCTTATTTGTAATTGGTGTTATTAACTTTTTTTTAACCTATGTTATGATGTAGGATTTTATAGTCCAGGGTGGGGATCCTACTGGGACTGGAAAAGGTGGAGAATCTATTTATGGGTATGATTTTTATCCCTCTTTTCCTAGTTTAAATTGGAGACTGCCCGTGATTTTTATTTCTTATTTATCTAATGTGATTTAGTCTAGTGCTTTTGTCTTTTGGATAATCAAGCCTGGAAGTTACTTTATAATTGTTTTATTAATATGTCTTAATATTGGGTCGGCATCTGTTTTTCCAATTATTGGTAGTTTAAGAGAAAGTGATTTTGTAAGTGTGATTTTGATTACTGGTTTGTGTTTTTGTTGATTTCAGTCCTGTATTTGATGATGAGATAAAATCTGAGTTAAAGCATACCGGAGCTGGTATTTTATCCATGGCTAATGCGGGTCCGAATACAAACGGAAGCCAGTTTTTCATTACTTTGTCACCGGCACCGTCTTTAGACGGTAAGGATGTGTAAGGATGTTATTCTTATTGGTTACAGTAAAAAGTAAGAACTATGTTATTCTTCATATTTACATGTTTGGTTGATCCCTGGAGGAAATTCTTGAAATTGGTAGATTTGGCAACACCTAGCACTACCCTTCCTTTTTAATATCGAGATCCCTTTTGTTATCCACTGTTTGACATTATGACTTCCTATCTGCAATGTCATCACCAACTTCTATGTTATGTTTCCAGTAATTTGATAGCTTTGTTTAGAGATCAAATAACTGTTTGAACTTTATATGCTCTCTTAATGTGAAAGCTAAAAGCTATTAAAGTTCAAGCTGATCACTTTTACTGGATAATTTATCAGTGATGTCCGTCCAACATATGCAGAGCAGAGTCTCAAATTGATTTAGATGTTATTTACATAATGGTTAGACTTATATTAAATTATCTCCATGAACTGCGTTGGACTGGTGTGTCAAGACCAATTAGATTCGGGGCATACTATCATCGTAAACTAGCTTTGAAGCTATTATCGTGCTTATCATTGACGACAGTAAGTTTCTAGAGCTTGTTAAGAAAAAGCAGAGGCAGTAGAAGTTAGTTCATGGTTTTAGGGGTTCCCATTTTCTTTGATTTGCTTCAGATCAATAAATCATTTAACTCTCTCTTTGACCTTGAAGGCCAATCCAGTTACATAAATTGACATAATGAACTGCATTCTTCCTTTTTGTAAATAGCTTGTTGCACATAAGAAACATAAATCAGTGATTTTTTTACGAGAACTATAAGCTCGATTCTCTCCCATATCCTGTGTTTGTGGTATTTGCACGATGTAATATTGTGTGTTTTTTCCTCCTTTAGCTAATGAGATATCATGGAGTCTCTTGCAAAAATGCATTGACTAGCGATTCTTTTGAGCACAGGTAAACACACAATATTTGGAAGAGTATGTGGGGGAATGGAAATTATCAAGAGGCTCGGTAGTGTCCAAACTGACAACAATGACAGGTAAATTCATGGCTTGTAATCACTTCACTTCTGTTTATTGCCTGGTCTAGAACAACGGAATTTCATTTGTGGGATTCTCTTATTATATCGGTTGGATCTCAGTTCAACACTCAACCAATTACTAAACGTTATGATCCTGGAATTTGCTCTTAAGGATTTGATTTGCTGTTTTCCTTCGTTGATTCAGGCCTATTCATGATGTGAAGATATTACGGACTTCAGTCAAAGACTAGCACCTGAGGTCGCTCTAATGCTAAGGAATGCTCCCTTCTTTTCCCAGAGTAGTTTGGAACTGGATCATTCTTAATATTTTTATGTTTAGCCGACGTCAGTGAAGAAGGAACAAATGGCATTTCTTTGTAGAACTCATTACATTCACCTTCTATACTGTGCGGATTAGAAGGGCACCTCTGCCTTTGAACTTGGTTAATTATTAAATATGATTGGTTTGATCGATAATTGATGAATCTGTTGAGTCGATTTTCAATTTTTTTCTAATCAAATCGACCAGTGCTAATTTAACCATTCCAGGCTGCTAAACCAGTTTCTTATGGAATTGAAAAGTAGGACACTGAGGCTGCTGAATCATAAAAAAAGCCATAAGATTCAAGTTGGTTCTTATTTTTTAACGTGGCACTAACACGTAAAACTGTAATAATGTCACCTACTGCCACTGTCAAAACTACTCAAAACAAAAGCCATGGGTATTGTTAAACCAAAACTAAACCTCTCCTCAAAATATACAATACCATATCTAAATTTCTACGGTTTCTTTAGTTCATGGGGGAGAAATTTTAGAGCAATTCGGTATCAATTCCGGTAGATCATAGCATCATCTCATCCCTATCTGCTATTCTTCAATCCATATTTTTACCAGTCTGCCGGCATTCTTTCTCCCGAAAAAATGGGAATACTATCAATCGTAATATTGGGCCGCAACCTATGTTATCCACCAGCCTCGGGTTGTGGATATGATAGATATTTGTACCTTTTAAGAGGGTTGTTCCCCCGGAACGAACTTCGAATCAAATTTTAAGGTAACTGTGAAAGTGCAAAATATGCACTGAAAAATAAGATGTCAGCTCAGCTTGCCGGAATTAGTAGTCTGGTTCAACTGACTCCTGCTGTCTTCTAAAGCGGTGTGATTCAGCATAGCCAATGGAGCCTGAATAAATCCGTTGGACTCTTTTGATCCTTGAGAGTTGTCTTTTGAGATTGTTACCCTTTCAGGTTCGATTGTTTCAATAGTTCGCTCTTCGAGAATGCCCTCTTCTTTTAGCATTTCCATATATCGTAAAGATGGGGCATCACCCTTACAGTACCGGTGCCACATGCTCCGATATGCTACCTCCAAACCACTGATAAAGTTCTGTCCATCACAGACAGGTGACTTAGACATAAGGTCTCGAAGACTAGCTCTCAGGTTCTGGAGAGCAGTGATGTCCGAGGCAAGTTGTAGTGCCAACTGGACATATTCATCTTCATTTTTGGCAATCAGATGTCCTAACCCTGAATTGCAGGTACCCATATTACTACATCAGAGTGAAACCAGAAGAAAAATGATGAAACGGCCAAGAGAAGTTATTGAAAGCCAGACAGATGCAGCTAAGCAATAGATATTAACAAGTGAAGCTCCTTACCAACTTTGCTGAGAAGACTGACACCAACGTTATGAGCATGCACTGAACCAGACATGGTTACACATGGCACCCCCATGTATAACGATTCACATGTCGTTGTTGTTCCGGCATATGGAAAAGTGTCCAAGCTATGCAAGACAAGTAAAAAAAAAGTTAAAACGTCTAAAAGGGATGTTACCCAAACCACTTGAACCGACAGATAAATGAACCAAAAGGGCAGGTCAGACACCACTCGATAAACACTTTTTTGTTAACGCAAATAATGCAGTTATATTTACCTAATGTCCATAAGAGAATACGCTTGCATGTGGTCATGATTAAGAAGAATTAGAGGGAGAAGATCAACACGAAGAGATTCTAAACCCAGTTGCTCTAGTGTTGTAAGAAACTTCTGCCTAACACTGTCACAACAAAACGGCTTGCATTTCACCACCAGTCGGGAGTTTGGAACGGCACATAATATCCTTGCCCAAACTTGCAATACTTTGGGTGTAATCTAGAAATGGTATCAAAAAGAGGTTAATGATGAATGTCATAGACTATTAGAAACAATAGGTTTAAGTTACAGTTACCAAACGGTACCTTTGCCAGATTATTAAAGCTACCGAATGTGATGAAGCCATTGGAAAGAGCAGGAGTTGGTGAAACAGGTCCAGCCTCCGAGGAAGGAGTATAACAAAGGAAGCATTCTGGAAGTCGGACTAACTCCTCGACATGCCTGCCATTCAATAAGTATTATATTCCAAATAGAAAACATATTGCATATCTCATCTAACACAATAATTCTAACTGAAAAAATGGCGTCAACTAAGATAAAAAAACGGGACTTACATCTGCTTCGTACCAGGAGGATCCGCAAGTGAATCAGTTATTCGGTAATCAATGGTAGGCAAACCAGTAGTATTGGGATAGCCAATCCAAGTCACCTACAATAAAAAACATAAGAGAAAATGCCTAGTATACCATATCAAGTGCCTACCAAAAAGCAAAATCACGATGCATAAACCCAGACCCTCCACTGAAAAGATTTCATCTATTATGGAGGCTCTTTTAATTCCATTGATGACAGAACTTAAACTGGAAACAGTTAAAAGAAAACAAAAATATGGCAACTTAAGCATACCTGAACAGGTGCCGGTCGACATGCCATCATTCCCAATTTGTTGTTTGCTGTATGACCAGTAAGCTCAACCAAAATGTCAATTTTATCGTCTCTAACCATGCTTGCAACCTTTTTTTCATCAATACCATATATATCCCTCCACACCCCACCCTTTCTAATGACTTTTTCCCCAAATCTATTAGTTTTTGCATCAGCCTGCAAAACAACAAAAATATAAGTCAGGAAGGGAAACATAGTCCATCAAAAATCCTCATAAATATATCCAAAGCATCACCTTCACCACCGCTGAATAAACAACCACTTGGTATTTCCCATAGTCATGATAAATAAGAGGGGCTTCGATGAAATAAGATACAGAATGAGTAAAATAATCTGGAGAAACATATCCAATCACAAGAGGTCGATCTGGATCTTTTGGGTTGTCCCATGAATCATATTGTGGATATAATCTCATAAACCGCCTTCCCCAGTCCCTGTTTTTAAAATCAAATTCAGAAAGCCTCGACAAAGCTGATTTTAAGATATGTCAAAGATGACGCACCCAGTTCTAGGAAGCACTCACTTGAATGTACATGTAAATTTTCAAACATTAAGCAACAAAGATTATCAAACAGGTCAAAATAAAACACTTCTGAGAGGGAAACTAAAAAGAGATTTATCCAAATCATTTTTTTAACATCTGCTTAGATATATATAGCAGGGCACTGGAGATATCATCACTACACTTAATATCCAAATCTCAATGTAGCTACTGCTTTCATCATCCATTTCTTTCTAAAACTAAAACCAAGAATTAGAAAGAACATTGGCATTGTCGATCATAATGTATGCATTTCTATGTTGCATGGAGAAAAGTATATCAGACAAAAAATCAAACAATAGTAAGCAAAAGTGCATTTGTGAAATAAACAGTTATGACAAAAGCAATAGCTCAAAGCAACATGACAGCACAGCCGATGGAATATAGTTCACAATTTAACGGCTTAATGAAATTAGTTCATACCTACATAAAATGCAAAAGTAAATCATATTTAAAATAACTAAATATCATGATGATCCAAATATCTAATTACAGCAGGAAGAATATTTGTAGTGATGCAGAAAATAGAAAGGCATGTAATTAGTTCATATGACCATTCTTAAATACTCCCAGGAAGACCACAAATGTCGATAATAAATTCAAGCTATGGTGACGAGTGTTGGTTAAACCTGTGAGCCTTAAAAAGTTTATCATCATCTCCTTCATTTGTGTAGTTCATTGCCAGAAGTCGGTTCTGCAAAGAATGTGTAATATGATGCATTCAGAAGGGACCAATAAAAAATGACAGCCACAACACCAACATGGAACCAGCATAATCTTTTTTCTTGTAAATTTTGTTTTTTAACTGAATGTAATTTGCCTCGTAGCAAAACATTACAACTTACACTATATAAGATTAATGAAATGGTACCTGTCCTGCATTACGAGAATCGGGATCTATCTTAAGGCACTGCTCATACGCTGCAACAGCCATGGATATATTGCCAGCATCTCTGTAAAGAACCCCTGAAAAAAGTATACATGGAGAATATACTAAAAAAATGAAAATTATTTGCCAAAAAAAAAAGTATGTATGATTATGTATCTTTCAAAGTAACGAAGCATGGCATGTACATGGTGTCCCGGAAATGTTTAAAGATTTTGGAGCAACATAACTAAGAAGCAAGAGAAAAACCTAAATTGTTATAAGCTTCTGCATATGTAGGATTGGCAATGATAGCTTTCTCAATCATGCTAGCAGCAGCATCCATTTTACCCTGACAATATCAAGCTCGTAGTCAATCACTGTTTGAGACATAGTCTAACAGTTAGATCCATAATTACACTTCAAACCTGAACTGTGTAAACAACACCAAGGTTGTTCAACGACTGAGAGAAGTTTGGTTTGATTGACAAAGCCAACTGCAAGAAGATATTATTAATATGAAGATCAAGGAATGCAATAGAAAATGGAGGCTTAAAATACTGGACAAGAGTCAAATATTGCCTGATAACATTCCACAGCTTTATCAAGGTTGTCTCTATCTTTGTATATTACTCCTAAGTTGTTGCATGCCTCTGCGCAGTGGGGGTTGAAGTGGAAAGCAAGTTCATAGAACACAACTGCCTAACAAACAAAGATCAATACTTAAATTGTTATCTCACGCAAACAACGAGAAAACAACCTACAAAGTATGTATAAGAAAAACTTGTACCATCGATGACAAATAGAAATCTAGTTCCACAAAGAGAATCGTGCACTTCCAAGAAAAAACAGCTCAAGTAATTACTTACCATATCAAATTTCAGCATTTCACCATAAGCAACCCCGAGATTATACATAGCATCCGCATAGTGCCAGTTATAATACAAAGCCTTCTTGTAACATGCTACACCTTGGTTAATGTCCCCCTCCAACTTAACCTGAAGAGACATTTCACTGAATGCAAAATCAGGAATAAAAAAACTCAGAAATCAATTATTAAAAAGAAAGTACAACGGAACTGACTTCCACAAACAAGTCAATAAGGGTTGCCGATGACGCAAGAAAACATTTTGATCTGATGAAAGTGTTGGTCAAAGAATGAACAAAATATATAAAAGATTCTGCAAAATAATTATAAGAACCAATGCTATTGTGTCAAAAGCAAAAAGTATGTGTTCGTCAATCAGAGATTCAGACGCTATGGTTAGAAGGGAACTATTCAAATATCTCAACCTACAGCCTTTATGTTTTTCTGTTATAAGTAGTCACTGTGTATTAGGATCACAGTTTGATTCAAAGTCAATTAAGGACATAAATTATGCAACAGAGATTACAACTTTCTTGCAATAAATGCAACTGCAATGGCCTCCTACAGATCATATCAAGTCTTTTTCCCAAGAACAGAACTGAATTCTCTGTATAGGTCTCATGTCTCTAGAAGAGTAGGACACAGATGGACATAGCCACATAGTCCTCGAGTGTTTTAACTGGCCAAGTTTCAGTAAAATAAGTAACCTGTAAACTATGGGTTAAAGGTCATGAAATAAAGCCAGAAACAAAACTACGTAAAGAGTACTTAAAAAAAATTTTGGATGATGCTATTTAAAATAATGAGGTAGAGAAAGCACCTTTGTTCCCAAATCTGTCAAGACAATTGCCATATTATTTTTTGCGATCTCAAAATTAGGAGACACAGCTAGACACCTGGTAAGAAAATAATTAAGAAAACAGAGTCAGTAATGATGAAGAAAACACTGAAATAAACCAACTACAAGTAAGGACCAGCAGACGACAAGGTTAAGCAACTAACTGCATAGTACCTCTCGTAACAGGCAATGGCAGATTCTAAGTCACCACGGTTTTTATAAATGACACCCATGTTGCAATATGCTTCAGCATACATAGGTCTCTCTAGTGCAGCCTTCTCATAGCAGCTAAGGGCTGTGTCATATTGCATCAACTCGGAATAGACAACACCAAGGTTATAGTAGGCAGGCTGTATAAATTTGGTACAAGTATATAAATATGTAATATATATTAGCACAACTAGGGGAAATGGGAATTAAAAAGACCATGACTATATGTAGAAAATTTTAGTTACAACAATTACTAATGAAGGAAAGAAAGAGAATGAGATTACAGAATAGTGTGGGTCTATTTTAAGAGCTTCATAATACTTCTGAATTCCCTCCTGTGTATTGCCAGCAAGCTTCAAGCTGGTTCCGAGATCAGTTAGAACAATGGATAGGCATTCTGCAGCTGGTTTGTATGAAGGGTCTGCTCTTAAAGCTTTTTGGTAAGACTGCATAATAAACGGGAGCAGAATCAAATTGCAAGAACCCACAGATAAACCATTAGTCAATGAACCAAATATGGGCATACCACAGCAGCATCTGCCAGACGACCTTCATCTTTGTATAGAATACCACAGTGAGTGAGAGCACAAGCATTCTGTGGATCCAATTTGATGGCTTCAGCAAAGCTCTCAAATGCAGGCCTTCCCATGTTCTGCATCTGCAAGCATATACCTTTTCCAATGTGGGCTTCAACACACCCATTTTCTTTCTCCAAGACACTACTATATATGGCAAGAGCGTCGACAAACTTGTTCCTGGACCGAAGAATGTTAGCATAAGAAAGAGCATCTTTCCCTTCAAATTCCTTTTGTGTGGGAATCAAATCAGCTGTTAAAGTACTTGGACCAGGAGAAGACGATTGATCTTTTAAGAAACCATTTTCTGCAATCAGGTCCTTCTCACTGCCATTAACATCTTTCTCGGTCCAGGCCATCTAGGTATTACTATAATCTCACCTTTCTGTACAAATATAATCAAAGGTATCACAAATTATTAATCTTAAAAAGGTGACATCTTTAGCTTCAAACTTTGAATCAGTAATATGATACTTCTCCTTTCATGCAATATAAATGATAATGCTTACACTAAAGCAGCTCAAACAAGTATATAACAAGAATAAGTCTTGAAATTTACAAACATGATTACACAATTAATCATAATATAAATTTCTAAAAATTACATGTGATAAGTTAAAGCCTTCTAAATAGATTATTTAACACGGAATCTGTTTTTATGGTTTCAAACACAATTTGAATGATTTACTCATGATATTGCAAGGTTAATTCAGTAATGAAACACAAATATAGTTTTCAAAAATTTTGATCCAACACCTGCAAGCTAAGTAATTTGAACAATTAGGCTGAAAAACTAAACCTTATTTTAGGTTTAACCAGAAAATATAGCACTTATCTGACTACATGAACAAATGCTAATCAAAATTTGATCAAATAATTAACATTAATTAAAAAGTAAGGTTTTGAAATTTACCTAGCAATGAACCTACCCAAACTAAATCTAAACAAATGGCTCCTACAACTCAAGAAACAAATTACTTTTTTATCACTTCAAGAACACAAATTGAAACCCTAAGGAAGGCAAACTGATCAAAGTAGACACACCATTATAGAAAATTGATCGAAGGCGGTCGAAGCCCATATAACCTTAAAACCCTAATAAAAAACACAAAGAAACAATTTCACTTTAAGACCCAAACTTGTATCAAACAAAAGAACATATAAGTTTAAGGATATTTTCTGATTAAAAAATGTAACTTTACAAACCCAACAAAACAAATGAAAAATAAAAAAGACTAGGGATCTAACACTTCCTTTTGGAGCAACCAAGCTCTGCTCCAAACTATAACAGCATATTTAACGACAAAAAACAACACCCAAAAAGAAATACAAAAGTTAGAATGGGTGCAGGATTAGTGGGTGAAAAAGGGGGGGAGTCTTTTAAGAATAAGACCGAGTCAGTCCAAGTTTAATGAACAAATACACACACAAAAAAGGTAACTTAAAGAATAAGGGAAAGGGTGATGTTTTTTTAATTTTATTTGGTGATTAAAAAAAAAAAAGGAAGAGAAAATGGGAGGTTTGAAAGCTCTGGTTTTACAGACAAAGGATTTGGGGGTGTTGGACGTCTCTGAGAGAGAGCCCTGTCTGGTCTATTCCTTACGTACAATATGTTTTGGGCATAATAGTGACAGCGGACGTTGTGATTGGGGCGATTTTTTTCGAAAAATTAATGGTTTTTTTTAATTATTTACGTGTCATATATTGTTATAAAAATATTACTAGCACTCTTTTGTAAAAGACTATACCTTAGAAAGGGTGCATTTACTTAACTGATACATTTTGTTTGTAATATTTTTTTTAATATTCGTTGATCAATATTTCTTGAAATAGTACTATTTGGCTGACGTGGCGTAAAGGCCTATCTCTGGGGACGCGTTTTCACGAGATTCTGATGACTTGGATGCCACGTGTGGAAGGTGCATCTCCGGAGACGCGCCTTGCATTAAATGTCATAAATGCCCCCATCCGTTTTTCCCCCAACTACCCCTCCTCCCCTATATAAACCCCCTCAACTCTCCTTCATTATTCACACCAAAATCATCTTCTCCTCTTATATAACTCAAATTCTCCAACAAATTAAAAGTAAGACTAAATTGATAAAATATGTAACTATTGAAGATTAAATGTGTAATTATATTAATTTTATTAACTTATGCATCAATATTTTCTTTAAATATTGATAACAAATGACTAGATTGATAACATTTAAATAATTAATTAATAAAATTAATAGATCGATAATAAAAAAATAATAGATATATAACAATACGTGTAATATTATAATTTCATACATTTAAAAAATATATTCGATAATTCTTAAATTATAATCGAAACACTTTACATAACATATTAATTATTTATAATAATAATAATAAAAATAAAATCTGTATTATTAAAAGAAATACCAACGTGCCATCTGACTCAACAGAACCCAAATGAAAGGCGCGTCCCCGGGGATGCGCCTTTGCGCCACGTCAGCCGAAAGGGTGCTACTTCGGGAAATATTAATCAACGGGTGTTAAAAAGAAAATATTACAGATAAAAGGCCTAAGTTAAGTAAATGCGCCCTTAGAAAGACTATGACTTACGACACGTGACGTCACATACAGTTGTGGCCCATAAATTGAACATTTTTTTGGATGAGTGTTAGATCTGTAATTTTTTTTTAAAAGAATGTCTAATAATTAATTAATTTCTATTACGATGATATTGTGTAAAAACGTCACAAAATATTAAAAAAATAGCTAATTAATTATTATATAATAAAATTAAGTATTATGACCATAAATTATCAAAATAATGATGACTCAATTATCAAAATAAAACGAATTAAAAATATAATAATAAAAAAAAATCAATAATGAAAATAAAACATATTAAAATATTTAGTATAATTATAACTCATATATTTTTAATTATTATATTCAAAATCAATTATAAATTATGATAAATATTTTTCGTTATTATCATCATCATCGACCAATTAATGGAGCATATATATGAGTTATAATTCAAATTAATCATTTATTCTGTTATTATTCGAATTAATTAAGAAAACTTATAGTAAAATATTTCTAAAAGAAAAGTATAAATACATATATAAAAATCTAAAGATTTTAGTTGTTTTGTGTTACTCTTTAAACTTGTAACAAAATTCAATAAAAAAGGTAAAACTAAAAGATATCACTTATATATTTAAAATATTATTTCTAATATTAATTTTAAAAAATATTAAATAAATATTAAATTCTAATTTTATTAAAAATGAATACACATTATTAAATGTTGTTAAAAATAATAATTAATGAATAATAATTCATTTGATCTCTCAATTGTAATTAAAATTTTATTTTAATATTTTTTATATTTTTAAACAATTAATTTTAAAAGTTAAGAAATTTTTCAAAAATACATGAAATTTATATTTTTTTTAAATTATAAAATATTTCTTATTATTATTATATCATCATCATCATTTTGAAAAAGAAATACTAGTTATAAAACTTTTATAAAATTATTCATATTTTAAATTACATACCCTCAAAGTTTTCTTAGATTAGACTATACGTATAGGATTTTGAAAGGGTCAAAAAGGCATCAAAAAGTGTCAAATGGTAATTAGTATACATAACTATATTGTGTAATTTCATGCAAAAACCAAAATTTTTCGAGTTATAAAATAATTTGCAAAAACATATTTAAAGATTTTAATGCATAAATTTTTTTGTACAAAAAAATAAAAAAAGTTGACGTTTTTACACAACTATTACCTTAACAGAAATTAATTACCTGTTAGGTACCGTTTCAGAAAATTTTATGAATCTAACACCCATCCTAGAAAGGCTCAATTCATGGTTGCGCCTTTTAAGACGTGGCGTCACAACATTTAAGATGCAGTGCATGGGCTGCTAGATCCGTAATATTTTCTCTAGCAATGTTTGACACGTAAATAATTAAAAAACAAATAATTTTTCGAGAAAATCGCATGTTAAACCATTAGTTAAGTCAAAGTTAACAGTATATAAAAATTCAAATGATAATATGAAATGACATCATTATACAAAATTGTTATGGTTTAATTTTAAATTATCAAAAATATTTACTTTTCATATAACGATGTCATTTCATATTATCATTTGAATTTTTATATACTGCTAACTTTGACTTAAGTGTTGGTTTAACACGATTTTTGTCATTCAAAAGATTCTTTAAATAGAAAAATTAATTTAATAGATTTAGTATCTTAACCTAGAATGTTTCTCATTGGCAAAAGTGCTCAGATAATGCATGTGGGAAAGTTTATTTCCCAAAATAATGCATTCAGGCGATTATGTCCTCAAATGGGGTGAATGCTACAGGAAACATGCATAGCTTGGGATCTCTCAGTGTCTTATGACAAAGGGAACATATTTCTCGACGTCTTCATCTTTACTGTGAATTCTCCAGTGTTGCATTCATTCAAGAGATCTCTCGGCGTCTTCAACACAAAAATTTCCATGCAAACATGGATCTCTCGGCGTCTTCCATGCACTTGTTTGGGGAATGCTAGGCGTCTTCAAGCATTCAAATATTATGGAGATTGCATGAAATTAACTAGATACGTTAATTTCAGGGTTTGTCTGCTACTCCAGCTTTTTTCAGTCCAAACATATAATAAAGAAAGAACAAAAAATGTTAAGTGATATTAGTTCATTTATTTTATCATAGATATTTATAAGAAATGAGGAAACTATTCGATTCAAACAAATTTATAGATTATATTCGATTCAATTATTCGAATATATATATAATATATATTATATATATATATAATATATTTATTACTTAAAGTTTAAAACGTCAATTTTAACTCTTTACTTAAATGAAATTTTTTTACTAAAGGTTTCGAACTTTAATAATAAAAAACTCAATTTAATAGTAATGATATTCGATTCAATTACTTAATTTTGATACTAATAATTTAATAATGATTACTAATATGATTAGTACTAATGATTACTAATAATGATTTACTAATTATTATTAATTTAATGATTTAATAATAATATGATTTAGTAATGATTACTAATAATATTTTATTATTAATATTTAATAATTACTAATAATGATTTTATAATTATTACTAATAATGATTTAATAATATTAAATAACATAAATTTATCTTTATATTTAAATTTTTTTTACTAAAGGTTTCGAACTTTAATAGTAAAAAACTCAATTTAATAGTAATGATATTTGATTCAATTACTTAAATTTGATATTAATAATTTAATAATGATTTACTAATAATGATTACTAATATTGGCGTTCTTGTATCATGAGATGTACAAGGCGTCATTACTTGTAAATGATGCAT